TTGATATCCATTGTGGTGGTGTATAGAGCCAAAAATGTTAGCATTGTGTCGATGTCCCAATATTTATGGACCTGACTGTATATGCTCCCTTTACACCGAGTCTACACTCCATATGGCAGGGGTGGCCAATCTTATCCGCAAAGGGCCGGTGTGTATGCGGGATTTCGCTGCAACTCCCTAATTAGATTACTAATTAGAGGACTGATTGGGTGAAGTGTCCTCACACCTGGGTTTGAACAGTTGACCTACAGGTTATCCCAAAAACCTGCATACACACCGGCCCTTTGCGGATAAGATTGGCCACCCCTGCCCTATGGAGTGACAAACCTGACCAGCCTCTACACCAAGTTTACACTCCCTCTACCCCGAGTTTACACTGCCTTTACACCAAGTTTACACTCCTTCTACACTGGGTTTACACTCCCTATGGGTTTGAACAGGTCCGTACTGGTGACTGAGATAATCTTACCGTACATTTGGCACTGGTGGCTTGGCTAATGCAGTAATAATAATACTGGGGAATGGGGTCTCAACCCAGAAACATGAGGCTTCTTTGGTGCACAGGATAGTGTTTTGTTCACTCTTTTAGACGCCGAGCTTAAATGAACATTTCATGAATGCCGCGTCTATAATTACCTATAGTACCAATGCTAATGTGTGTTTTTTGATCTGTCCGACTCCCCGCATGGTTTGCAGGGAGGGGTGCTAAGAAGCCGATGAACAAGTTAGACTGGTTCATCATTGGTGGCAGGGTGCAGCTGTTGTTCCCCCATCGCATCTGATTTCATTCTGCCCATTATCAGCAGGCGCCCTCGTGCCCACAGCGATTGTGCAGGGCGGCTTGCACAGCGGCCCCTCCCCTTCCTGCAGTGCTCGTCACAAACAGGCGCCTACCTGGGCACCACTCCGTGGTGAGAACCAAAACGCAACATGTTTAGACACATTTTTACCACTTCGTTTTACTTTACCGACTAGCAGAATTCTCTTATTATCCACCATGTAATCAGTGCTGGTGGAAGCCCATGACATGAAAGCTTGACACCCACGCAAGCTTGACGACCAGCGCCCCCTGTCTGAGACAAAGTGACATTGACTTGCTATAAGTGTTGCTTACTGAGTGGACCGGCACTTATTTTGTATATAACCAATGCAAGACTGGCTAAAAATACAGATAATGTGGGTTTATCACCTGATTTCTTGTGTCAGGACTGAGATGACTTCTAATTTAAACCTTTGATGATATGACAGTGTTGTTTCTTTGATTAAGCGTCTATCGGTAGTGTTCTTATAGCAACACAAACATAATCTATCAAACATAATATATTACTACTATGTTAAACAGGATAATTTAAAGTAATTTTGATTCTATCCAAAATAAGTTTATCTTTAAAACAGTACTGTGACGTACTAAAAAATGAAAAAAAAAGAAATGTGTGAAATTGAATTAAGTGTATAAATCTATAGACATGCATGTAAAAATAGAAAGTACGAATTATTATGTTTGCTTAAGAAGATTAATATCTGAATATAGTCATTTATCTTCAGTTATATTTATCTTAAATAATCAGACAATACATTTTATGAAAATGAAAGCTGAATAACAGCATATATTATTTAACACAAGATTATATTCAGGTATGTTTCGTCCTGCGAGCATGTGAACAGCTGTTCTTCCTGGGAACAGCGCCGTCCAGCTTAACCTGACGTATTAGATCCGGATCGCATGGTCCCGTGTAACATCCCAGGTAGCTTCACGTGTTTTTCTGTACAATAACATATTCACAATGACGTCAGCGTGCAGGGATCATTCAACAACAACAATAATAATAATAATAATAATAATAATAATAATAATAATAATAATAATAAGTAACAGGGCCTGCATTGCAGTGGTGTTTGGAGTTTCCCTCTGCAGTATTTCAAAATACCGTGCAAAAGTTCTCGTCAGAAAACTAGAGAAAGCTTTAGTCCGCCGACAGGCTCCAGCATACCCGACTTATCACCTGCCGTCCTTCCACCTACAGTGCCCCCCCTGACGGGCCGCGTGACGTCGGGTGCCCCCCTCCCGCGCGCTCCGCAGTGCCGGGATGCCCGAGGGGGCGGAGCGGCCTCAGCGCGCGGTCACATGAGGATGGGATGGGGCGCGCGGTGCTGTCGCACCGGGGTCCGGCTCAGACTCAGGATCTGCTGCGAAGTACTGCAGGGAAAGACGCTGCTAACTCGCCTTTATAAACCATCGAGGGGGGGGAAATCGTTTCTTTTCAAATTCCTGCGACACCTTTTAAATCAGTGTAATGGTACCGGGGAGGTGGAGCTGCCGTGTACCTTAATTATACATGAGCCCGGGGCAGATTCGTAAAACTGGCATTTCCAGAGGCATTCATGGCTGCGTCTGTGACGGACGTGCATTGCCCCGTTACTTTGACTCGTTTTTTGTATTTTTTTTGCCCTAATTTTTGATCGTGTTCGGGGGGGTCGTTTGCACGGGTTTATTTTTTCAGCGCCATGACCCACTCCGGCGGTTCGGGGTGCAAAGGGGGCAAGGCTGCCGCTCCAGATCGGGTAAATAGGAATGTTTTACAGTAGCGCGGTGCTGTGTTATGCGGCGTCCGTACGCGCCGAACGGAGATCCTCGCCTTCCAGCGGCCATCGCGGCTGCTTTTGCGCGACCCTGCAGTGACGCCTGACTAGTTACTTCCTACCTCGCAAAAATAATAATAATAATAATAATTAATAACTAAACCAAGGTACGGCGGCATTCATGGAAGGCAGCCGCTTCTCCCGGCTGAAGAGACGGTGTAAATGGCCTGCCAGCAGACCGTGGGACTTGGAAAGCGACGATGCTGACAGGACTGGTGTCGGCCGGACCGCAGAATGGCAGGGGTCTAGGGCGTCCTAACTGCGGCTGCACGCCATGCGGCGGCGTCTTTGAGCCCGACACAGCGCACCGCTCCGTACGTGTCGAATATACATATATATAATATATATGCATTTTATACATAGCTGCTGCGTATAGCCTCCAAGAGCAAGGATGATGTCTAAAGCGGCAACTAAGGAGAAAAAGTCCTTCGGAAAGAAGCTGTTCCGAAGGGGCTCCGTGCGCTCCGTGGGCAGTTTCATGAGCAGGGTGCTGAAGACCCTGTCCACCTTATCTCACTTCGGCACCGAGGAGCACGTTGTGGAGAATGAGAAGGACGACGGCGGCTTCACGGTGTTTAAGAGCGGGGGTAAGGGAGCCGTAACCCCGGGCGAGGGCGATCGCGACGGCATCGGCGGCGACAGGGTGCCCGGGCTGTCCGGGCTGAAGAACCACGGGAACACGTGCTTCATGAACGCCGTCCTGCAGTGCCTGAGCAACACGGAGCTCTTCGCAGAGTACCTGGCGCTGGAGCAGTTCCGGGGAGGGGGTGTCGGGGCGCAGGACGAGCTAGAGGACAAGGACGACAAGGGGATCGTACATGGGCAGAAGAAGGATGCTCCGGACGGCGGGGAGGTCACCGAGCAGCTGTCCGGGCTGGTCCGAGCCCTATGGACCTTCGAGTACACCCCTCAGCACAGCCGGGAGTTTAAGGTCAGCGCTAGCTAGAAAAGGACTATGCACGACTCAAGTAGTCGATGCTTTTGGAATAACGAGTTAAGTTTTCAGGCAAAATGCAGTAAATGCTGAAAATGTGCTTTGGATGATGCGTGGTGTGTATTTTTACGCTGGAGTCTGCATGCTGACCATACATAAGATTAATCTTTGCTTTGGATATTCCTGAGACGCACAGAAAACATTTTATTTATTTCACAACGTCCCTGCATTTATACCCTAAATCACGGGCTCCCTCTATGGATCAGGGCATACCTCACACATACACACAGTCATCAAGTAGAGCCAGTTAATCGCACTGCGTGTTTTTAGGCTGTGAGGACACAGGGCTGTATATGTTGTACTTATTGATGATATTATGGGGTCTTTGTAGACAGTAGTGATTGTTTTATGGTTAACGATTGCTACTAAATAGACAAGTTATTCCTCTGGAACGAAACGGCGGTGTTAAGGAGCTTAACGCACAGGTTTGTGCTGGGGCTGTTAGACATGCTGACAGCTCGTGAGTTGGGGGGCTGTACATGCAGCTCCCGTTTTTAGGAGATCTGTGCCCTTCATCGTGGAAGGAAATGTGTTGGGCTTCATTGTTGGATTGTTGTTCTCCTCATCTAATTAATATTTAGAGGCAGTTTTCTTTTTCTGTATGCGTGTAGAGTATTTTCAAACACTCCCTTACATTTGTTATTTTGCTTCTGAATTAAGGCTTTAATTGCCTGTAAGTTAGGTTCCATGATACCGCTTTGGTCATGCTGGTTATGCTGGTTTGGTCGTGATGTCGGTAGTGGGCATTGTGTGCAGTGGATTCAGGCCCTTTTGCCCTTACCTTGCAGCCTTTATCTTGCTGTTGTGAAATCACTCTGCCGATCATGGGATTTGAACCAGCAACCTCCAGTTAACAAACCCACTGTCCTAACCCTCTGAGCTACACACCACCCTCAACCCTTCTGGAAGTTTTCAGTGTGTCAGCTCAGAGTGGGATCACCCAGGCTGTGTGTTCAGAAGTGACTTTCACTTGCATCTATAAGAGTTGAATGACCTCCTTCCTTCTCTTCCATTCTCTTCCATGTCCAACAGGTGTGTTTAGCCTGCAGATGACAGTTCACACACTTGTATATCCTCATGTTTACTGTGAGATTTCAGATTACCTACTTTGCTCAAGGTTACAACAGCAAAGATCACTTTCCTTGGGACTTTAAATGTCAGCTTTTGGGTACGAGCGGCCCGTGCTGCCATTGGCTATGGGCCTGTTGTGCTTGTCGGCGTTGCTCTGCAGGCATTGGTTGCATAAACACAGTGGAAGGAGGTGTGCCCAGCAAACAGGCTAAGCATTGTCCCTTTGTCTCCCTGTGTTCTTACACCTTCTTTGATTTCCTGCAGAGATTTTTTTTTTCTTTGTTGATCAGTAAGCTTTGTTGAAGCCATTGAGAATCTTACCCTGCATTGCACCTGTAGTTTTATGGGCCTGCCTCTTGTGTGTAAATGCATTTTGTAGGTTTACAAGTGGCGATTTGCAAATGATCTGTCTTGGCTGACAGGGCGGGACAAGCAGTTTGAACCTGCTTCAAGTTAGCTGAGTTACAATAACTTGAAAGACAAGTTTCTATTATTGAGTCATATTAATTAAGGTTACAGTGGTTAGTGATGAATGACGAGTTGAAGGATCCTTCTTTTCACCCTGGTGAGGAAATGTTTGACACTGATCATGTGTGCTGGAAGTTAAATTAAGGGCCCATTTGTTTTGCTGTAAGAGATCTTGGTGTGCTATTTCAGTCGGTGCAGGTCCCTCGTAGTGATTCGGGGCATCTGCAGCATGATCTGACAGCTCTGTGCTATGTTCCCGTTTGCCACTTGCGTTCTTGAGAGAGAGGCGACGTTTATGGAACCGCGGGGGGGGATTGGAAACGTGAAAATGGGTGAAATCCACACATTTGATCCGTGCGTGTGATCAGTCGATGCTTTTGCCTAAACTGTGGGTCTCGAGTTTGGTCCTCAAGTTAGTAAAACTTTTCAATGAGTAAATTCAAGGGCATTAGGTACTTTAGCAGTTTCCGGAAAGGGTCATCGAAACGTTCATAGTGCTGTGTTTGTGCGAGTCAGAACCTTTCTTATCCAGTCGTGTTCAGATTGATTTATATGCAGGTGGGCATTGTGGGGACCTCAGACAGGCTTCGCCACATATTTTTGCTCTCATGTTGTTGTGTGTTGTCCTTTTATGGATGTGTTATTTAATGGTTTTTAATATCTTCAGGGACAAATTAAATTAAGATGCTGAATGCATTTAGATTGTTTCAATTTGCTTGCTTTTTTGCATTTCTACACCTCCAGTACCTGAAGCATACACATTTATCTGTTTTGTTGTTTGTACTGCCCTAAATGTCTGGATTTTTGGACGTTAGTCCATTAAGAGAAAACCTGTGTTATTTTACTAAATACTTTGTGCTTCTGATCTGTGAGTTTCTGTAGTGCAGTTTTGAAGCTTTAGGATGCTGGATTTCTTTATTTTATTCATTCTTGCAGGTCCTCAGTGTCCTGCGAGTATTCAAGCCTCTAGGAATGGAGCCTTTACAGCGTTTTGTGGGATGTGAACAGCTCCCGCTTTGGGCTCCAGCGCTGCCGTTACCTGACGTTGTGAATGGGCTTGGCGCACCTCCGCCGCCGTGACAGAAGTGGACGTGCAGGCAGATGACCGGCGAGAATCGGTTAACCGCTGCAGTTGTTGCACGTTTGCTTTAGATTGCGCTGTAACGTGCCCGACGGCGTGACATGTAGACGCAGATCCCTGCAGGCAGACATCTTGTTTTTTGTCGTTTTGTTGACTTCTTGGGAATGGCTGCAGTACTTACTGAAGCTCACTCTCGAGAGGCCCTCTAAGTACTTCACATGAAGCAGCAAGTCTCAGTTAAATTGCAGACATTTCTGTGCTTTGTGCAATTGAACAGCTTAGTAAATGAACAACAAGTAAGGCCACGTAGAACAGGGTACCCAGCTGCCAGTTTGGTCGGTTGGTGTATTTGCTCACATCTGTGTTATGAAACGGTCAAGAAATGCCAGGCAGGTGTGTCTGATATCTAGGTCTCCCCAGGGCCGATGGTCAGTAAGCCGGTGCGATATTAGAGATGCCTTCAACAGCTACTGGGCTGTACCTCTAAACCCGATTTTCCAGTCTTTCTCTGGAAGGCAGTGGAGCGCAGAGAATCTCTGCCTTGGTCACTTAGAAAGTGCAGCTTGCTGTTTTTCTAAAATTTAAATTGCTTAAAGCCACATCATTTTAAGCAGTAGTTTTTAGCAATTCAAAGTACAAAAGGCACTGCAGGTCAGGTAAAGTTGCTTGCTGGCCTCTTCAGTAACTCATTAGGTTAGAAATGACTGAATTGCCCGAGACCCCGACCTGGATGAGCCGTTAGAAGCTGGCTGGAGGATAGATGGATGGATGGATGGTTGGATGGATGGAATGTTGGGTAATGAGAATCAATCCACGTTGTCATAATGACGACAAGAAAACAATAATAAAGTGAAATTCTGACATCTGGTTCAGGATCAGCTGTATCTGGTGACTCTGTGTTTGATGGCTTTCACGCCAGCTGAACTATTAAATTAATTAACAATTTATAAATTATAAATTAGATAACATTAAATTAGTTAATGATTCATACATTATAAATGAAATGCTTCCTTTGGTCTGCTTTCACATGGTTTGATAGCACTTTATTTTTGCTGGTTTGACCCTGTCTGTAATGCCAAGTTTGCCGCAACTAATGTTTAGTCATTCATCCATTAGTGTGTGGATTTATTTCAGTCACTGCTTAAATTAATTTTAAGTGCCGCAAAATGCTTTTTCTAACATATTCCCCCCCCCCTGTCATTCTGAGTACTAAGTACCTGACTATACAGTCGCATCAATGAAGTTCAAAATCGTCAAGCGATTCATATAGACTAAAAAAATAGTTACAGGAAGTACTTGCCGACCAATTTCAATGCCTTTAATGCAGACGGAACAGTGATTTTTGGTGATTAATAGTCAATAAATGTATTGATCTACAATATTTATGTAGCACACCGACTTGTGTATGTACTCAATATGTTTATTACAAAGTAAAATTTGGTATTAATAATGGCTATGTCTTACTGAAATATTTTGACCTTAGTTGGGTTAAAAGAATGCTGTTGTTTATTGCTTTGAATTCTTTTTTTTATTTTCTTACACTTGTATGGTAATGAGTAATCGTATCCTAATGTTTATTGATATATTTAAAGGGAGAGGAAGGGAAGAAATGTTTCAAAATCCAGATCGGATTAAATGTTGTAACATTCATGGTGGTTTCAGTAGCTCTGTTCTAACCAGGGACATAAATAATCTTAATGACTTAATCCCTAATAAACTCCAACATGAATCGCACGCCAAACAGGAAAGGCCCCTTTCCTTCATGTCCTTGCATTTAGTCTCCACCATAGTTTGCTGTGATGCGTGGGGATGCTCCAGTCACTCGGATAAAGGAGCACAAATGTCTGGTTTTCCCAGTGACATGCAGGAGATAAAAACGCTTGTCTCAAGTCACCAGGAGAAATCTGCAACGTCTGAATATGATTACCTCACTTTTTTTTTTTTTGCAAAGACCACAGCACTGGGAAGCTTAATGTTTGGTTTATTAAAAATAAGGAACAGGGAAAAGTTTGCAAAACCCAGGAAATTGAGATCACACGCTCCAATATTATATTTAACTAATGTATCACTCCTACCACCCTGCAAGGAAAAAAAAAATGTAATCACTTTTATAAGCCATTTTCTCGAATTCCCCAGTTTTGGATGCCATAGCACTTTTACAGTTAAAAGGCTGTTTGTGGTTAATGTTACGTGTTGCTAACTATCCTGGCCTCATCTGTTGTTAACATTCCCTAAATCTAATAATTTAATGGGGGGGGGGGGTCATCCACTAACATGCTTTAATGAAAATGTTAATTTGACCTTGAGGTCCTGATAATATACAATCTAACGTCTTACCCTTTAAAAGTGCGTCACTAATAGTCCATTCTGCCGCAGCTGTATTGCACTGCTAACTTTCAGAAACTCCTGAGAGGCTCCACGTTAAGGCAAGTCAATCTCTACAGGGCCCTGAGTTTCAGGCTTTTCTGCAGGCATGTTAGAATATGGCTTAACGCTTCCCCTACGGTCTACATGGCTGTCGGGAATCTTGTAGAGTGATTCTGTTCCTCCCTTCGTGGCCTTTTCTGAAGAGGAACTCATAAATACATATGAGTAAATGTGAGACGCCGGATGCTGAGCGTTTGTGAGCCCGTAATGCTCTGGTGATTTACCTCCGATAAAGCTGGCAGTCTTCCTCTGCGTCTGCTTTCCGTTCGCTCTTTATTTACGTCGCAAATGGCGGCACTGTCACGAGTATTTACGAAGGAGGTGACCTTTTTTTTTTTTTTTTGCCTTGGCTTTGATTTATTGTATCGGCAATATTGAAGTAAGTAAGGCCTTCGCCTCACTTAGCTTCTACGGGCCTCACGGGGCTTTTCTGCCGAGGTTAGGCGACTCTATTG